TTTGAAAAAAAACTTTGTATACAATCTGTATTCAAAAATATAACAAAATCGTATTAAAAATGTTAATATCAAATTTTAATTGATAATATAATTAGTTTTTATAATACAAAATTCCAATTTAGCAAAATTTATAAATTATAAATTTTAATAATTAAAAAAATAATAAGTAATAAATAAATAAATTTAAATTAAATATTATTAATTTAAAAATAATATCAAGTTAATAATATTATTATTATTATATTATTATTATCATAATATCAACTCAAAAATATTCATTAAAATTTTGATATACAGTGATTATTTAAAAATTCCACATAATTTGTTTCGAAATTATAAAATAATTTTTCCATCTGAATCGTATTTTCTCTGCAAATTATTTACTATTATCCAAAGGAAAGGTTATATGGTAAAAAAAATTTCTAAACAAAATTTACTTACGAATTTCGATTTAAAGGTAACATAGGTAAAATTCTTCAAATATTCTTTAAAACATTTTGTTTATACAGATGTCGTGGATACTGGTGAAGTTTGTATAGTTTGTTTTTTGTAGCAACTTACCTGAAAAAAAAGAAAAACATAATTATTATTATTTTTAATAGAAAATTTTTATTAAATATCAATTATTTGTTAATAACTTAAAAATTTTTTGTTCTGTTATTTCAATTTTATTTAAAAATATTTAACGATTTCAAAAAAAAAAAAAATCATTAAAAATGCAATTAAAATTTTATTGATTCAACTCCAAAAACATTGTTTAAAGAAAAAAAACATCAACGAGAGGTCAACAAAAATCGAAAATAATGTCATCAACAGGTAAATGAACTTGGATTTCATTCATAAATTTGTCTGTACATATAATTTTTCTGTGTGTGCAGATAGGAGAGCGGATTTAAAAGTGTGACTTACGATGTACATTGCAAGTCTTTAAGTATATATAAGTAGAACTGCATATTTATTACTGACAGGACGAAATGAATAACCTGCTATTTCATTACATGAATAATTAATTAACACTTTTTTTTATCAGGTGAATAGGGTGGCTGTTCTTTTTTTTTAATATAAATTTTTTTTTACATATTTTTATACAACAGGTGTTTTATTTTAATTTTTAAGTCATCCCTTACAGCACCAGATATCCTAGGATATTCCAAAAACATCCCTTGGATATCCTAGGGATATCCTAAGGATACTTTAAGGATATCCAAAGTAGCGGCGGTTAGGATATCCTAGAGATATCCCAGGGATATCTAAGGATGTCCCTAGGACGTCCCAGGGATATTCTAATCATTTCCCAAGATATTATTAAGATATCCTGTGGATATCCCTGGAATAATTAGAGATGACCTTAGGACGTCCTAAGGATATCCACAGTATGTCTATATTATCTTAAGGGTTAGAATATCCTTAAGTCGTTCTAAAATTTGAATCATAATGATATCCTATGGAGATCTTAGCGATATTTCTAGAATATTTTAACGATATACTAAGTTTATCCCAAGAATATCCCCACGACATCACTAGGATATCCCTGAAATATCCTCATGATATCCTTAAAATAGCCTCAGGATATCCCAAAATATCCTCAGTATATCCCCAGGATATCCCAAAAATATCCTACGTAACGGCGGTTTGGATATTCTGAGGATATCCTATGGACGTTTTCAGGATATCCTACATTAGTAGGATATCCTGAGGATATCCTCAGGATATCCTTTTGTTGTGAGGGATGAAAAATAATTAATAATAATAAATCATTATTATTAAAAACCAAATATAATCAAATAAACAATATAAACTAAATGTCCGTATTATTATTTATTTATTTTTATTTATTATTGTTGTTATTATTATTATTAAAAAATTATTACTGTACAAATGGAGAAAATGACAAAATTTATTTTTTGTACATTATACTGCACTGAGAAAAATGTTTAGTATCATCTACCAAAGTTTGGTTCTCCAAACCAAATTTTTTATTTGATATATGTGCAACTAATCCGTTTGGTTCGGGCTACTAAATTTTTTCGTTGAATCATTTTGTTCGGTCTACCAAATTTTTGTTTTGCACAACTAACTTATTGTTTTTAAGCAAACAAAAAATTTAGTTAAATGAAAATTTTTTTTTTGTTTTCTCAACCAACTTATTTTTTTGTTTCACCCTTTTCTCTTTATATAACCTACCTATGCCTACTTAAATTAATTTCTATCGCGGAAAAAACCTAACACTGCTGGGGCTCGAACCCTCAGACTACGCAACGCTAGTCGAGAACGCTGACCACTACTCTACGAATCCTACTAACAATTTGAGATTAAATCATTTTCACAATGTATAAAAGCTGGAAAAAAACTTTCGTTCTTGTAACAAGTTTTATTTATTTATTTTCACTACACAAACTTTTTTTTTTTAAAATGTCTGAAAAACATAAAAACTTCAACACTGAAACTTCACGACGCGAACGACATATGGTTAATGTTGACATCCCGTGAATGGGAAGCGACGCCATATTTACGAGAAGAGCGCGTGCGCAATACAGCATGTCAGCTATTTAGTACTGGGAACCAAACTATTTAGTTCGTAAACATGAAAGCTTCAAATATATTTTTTGGTAGAGCCAACTAAACTTCCCGATTTATTGCCACTTTCTATTCTGTTGTGACAACCATATTTTAGTAACGCCAACTAAAAAAGCTCAACTAAATTATTTTCTTATTATTACGAAATTATTTTTCTCAGTGTGATTTCTATAACAGGGAAGTAAAGACATAATTGTTGATGACGAATGACGGAAGCTCAAATACAATTTGATGTGTACTTATATTTCGTAATAAAAAAAAAAAATCACAAGGGAAGTATTACGATTTAATTATATAGAGGTTTTATATTTCAAAAACCAGTTTTGATGTCAGATTAGCTTATGGCGTTAAAGGCTCATTCGAATAAATAAATAAATATATATATACGCATGACAAGAAAGGGCAAAGTGCATAAGGAAAGTTGATAGACACATAAATAGTTAGGTTGCAAATTTATAGATGAATAAGATATAAATGCTATATATCTTGATGCAAAAGATATATCCTTATATATTATAATTTACAAGTGACTTTTCTCTTTAATTTCAACAGATGCGATATTTAAACAAAAAAATAATATAATAATAATAATAATTAATAAGAATAATAATAATAATGATAATTTTAACAATTTTAACCAAACATTTTCTACTAAATAAAAAAGTAAATAATTTTATTATTACTATATTTTACTATTGTTATTGTTGTTATTATTATTATTATTATTATTATTATTATTATTATTATTATTATTATTATTATTATTATTATTATTATTATTATTATTTTATTATAATTATAATGATCATGATTTTATTATGATTTTTTGTAATTTTTTTTTGTCATAATTGTAAAGTTTTACGTGGCTGTGTGGTCAGAATACATAGCTCGCGTCCCAAGTGTCCGGTGTTCGATCCCCAATACGTGCGAAATTTTTCAAAATTATTCTGAACTATTTTATATAATTATGTAATAATCTTAAATTTTTTTTATTTATTTACAAATACACGCAAAAAAATATTCACCTGGAACAGCGATAAGTTTCTCTGGAACAGCGATAAGTTTCTCTGGAACAGCGATATATTTTTCTAGAATAGCGAAAACTTTCCCTGTTTTAGTGAAACATATCGCTGATCTAGGTGAAGATTTTTTATAAATTTTTTTATTTAATATATTGAAAATAATTTTTAAAAGGTACACTCAGAAAAAAGATATATGTTTGAACCAAATGTACCATTTTTTTTATATTTACCCAATTTTTTTGGTTAATTCAAAACAAAATTTGTTTAATTCAAATAAATATATGTATTTGATCTAAATAACTGTTTGATTTATTTTAATAAATTTTTTGAACCAAAGAAAAAATTTGATTGAGCTAAATAAACGTTTGGTTTATGCAACCAAATGTTTGGTTAACTGTATTTATTTTGTTGATTTAACCAAAATTTGGTTCCTTCAAAGGAATTTTTTTCTGAGTGTATAAAATTATTTTTCTTCTTGAAATTAAAAAAATAGGCCATTTTCTTTTTAGTGGGAAAAAATTTTTGTTTTGAAAAAAATTTTCAATTTTCAATTTTAAATTGAAAATTTGCTAGCTCAAAAAAAAACTAATAAGTCATTACTATGAGGTGAAACAACGGGGTGACAGAATGATGATTTTGCCTAGTGCACACGGAGCCTATAAATAATAACTGATGTTTGTGCGCGTAAATGTGTGTGTGCGTATGTCTATATATGTATATATAGGAATATGTTTGAACGAGGCTATAGATAAACTCTTCTTCTTTTGCGTGACGGCAAGAGAGAGAATCTCTGTGTGTATATATGCGTATATATATATATGTGTTTGTATTTGAGCCTCTCTCTTTTGCGCACTTTGACTGCCATTTGTTTTTGCTCATCCCAATCTTTTTTTTCCCCATTAACAATACCATCTCAAATGACTTTGTTAATGGCAATTGAAAATACAAAAAATTCATCCTTGGAAAAAAAAAATTCCTCTATTTATGAATGTAAAGAAAAAAATTACCCGCGAATAAAAAAAAAAATTTGAAAGAAAACAACATTTAAACTAAAAATTTCTAAAAAATATGAAATTTCTAAAAAATATGAAATTTCTAAAATTTAAAAAAAATTTCTTGAAATAAAAATTTTCTATTTGAACATTATTTTTGTAATACTAAATTATTCGAATTAATTGAATTTTTCATTAATTATAATAGCTTAGTTTATTTTAATTTGTTTATTTTTATTAATACTTAATTAATTATTATTAATTTTATGTTTATAAAAATTAACTTTATTTCAATTAATTGAATTTTGTAATTATTTCCAATAATTTACTGTTATTTTAATTGAAAATAAAAATAGGAAAAACTGTGCAAAAACAATTGCCAAACGTTGTTAGGCAACGATTTGCATTTTGTTTTTATTAATAAATGCCATAGTGCAATAAATTAATCCCACACGAAAAAAAATGTTTTAAATCTTTTAATTAATAAAAAAAAACAATTTTCAAAATTTTATTAGTGATGAATTGATATTTTAACGCAAAAATTTCCCTACTAAAATTTAATTTTTCAATGAAAATTGATGAAAAAAAAAAAAACATTGAACATACAATTTTATAAATAGGAAAGGAAATCTTGCAAAGAAATTTTCTTTTGCAATCAACGTGATATGACTCATTTCTAAATAAAAAAGGTAACTATTTTTTTTCAAAAATTTAATTTTTTTTTTTTTTAAATCACTGATAATAAATATTTTGTATTCTTTTTTAATTTTTTTTATTCTAATGAATAAATTACTTTGCAGAATATTGAATATGACTTCTAAAGGAGTTCCAAAAGTCGCGCCTCTAGTAATTAATGCAATTCGAAGACTTCAAGATGTTCAGGGTTCAACTACCAAAGAAATAAATAATTATATTGCTCAGGAATATAATATTCCAAATAAGGATATTCGAAGGCAAGTCCAAGTTGCATTACGTCGTGGACTTTCCTATGGAATTCTTCAACGCGCAAAGGGGTAAATTTCACTATTTTTTTTTTTTTTTTTTCAAAATTTTGATTTTTTTTGTTCAATATAATTTTTTTCAATTAATAATACAGTCTAACCTGGTTAAGTATAATTAATTATTAATTAATAATTAATATTTAATATTTAATATTTAATATTTAATAATTAATATTTAATAATTAATAATTACCAATTATTATTATTATTAATAATAATTGTTAATAATAATTACTATTTATTATTATTATTTTTATTATTATAAATAATTGAATTTAATTAAATAAATAAATATTAATAAATATTAATAAATAAATAAATAATAAATATTTAATAAATAATTTTTATTATTATTATTATTATTAATAATAATTGTTAATAATAATTATTATTTATTATTATTAATTTTTTTATTATTATTTTTATTATTATTATTATTATTATTATTATTAATTAGTATAATTATTAAAATTATTATTTTCAATTAAAAATTGAGTGAAAAATATAATTTACTATTATTATTGTTATTATAATTTCTCAGAGGTTACTATGTCTGCAATAAATTGAGTCCCACGAATGCGTTACGCGATATACAAGATGAAAGTGGCTTTTGTTGTAAATATATGACAAAGAAAAAGAAGAGAAAAATGAAGGTAAAAAGAGCGAGTTGCAAAAGTGGAAGTCGAAGAAGAAGTCGTAGCAGAAAAGCGGGATGTGGTTGTAAAAAAGCAATGAAACGAAAATCAAGTAGTAAAAGAAAATGTGGTAGATCGAGAAGTAGATCAAAAAGAAGATCAAGAAAAAGTAGAAAAAGTTGTAGACCAAGTAGAAGAAGTAGAAGTATGAAACGAAGGAAAAGTAGAAGAAGTAGAAGCCGAAGGGGTGGCTGTCCAACAAAACCAAAATGTGGCGAAATAAACATGTAAATAACATAAAAATAAATAATTAAAATTTTTTAATTAATTATCCTCTCTATTTCCAAAAAAAAATTAATTTAAAACTAAAACGATTAGAATAATTTAATTATGAATTTAAATTTATAATTTACGAAATTATAAATGAAAAAAATTTTTACTTTCAAAAATAAAAATTTCTAATAATTTCTAATTAAAAAATAATTTTTTTAATTATAAATAATATTCTTTAATAAATTTATGTACAAATTGTAGTCCTAATTTTCAATTTCAGATCCCAAAACTATAAAGAAGGAAATACCTCGAATACATCGTTAACTTCCGGAACGGATTCGAGAAGACAGGCTTCTTCTAATCGATATCCTGATGACGATTGAGGTAAAAAAAAAAATAAACTAGATCTAAATATATAAATTAACTAAATCCAAATTAAATTAATTAATTATGAATAATTTAAATAGATTAAATTTAAATAAAAATAAAAATTTTGATAAATTTAAAAAAAAACTTTAATTTAAATAAAATTTTAATTTAAATTAAAAAAAATTTAAAGCTCACATTTTGTTTGTAGCGAATCTATTTGCCAACGATAATTTAATAATGGTGATATAATATAACACAACATAATGTCTGCTTTCTGTCTACAGCGTACCGGAAGTACATCAAAGACCCCAAGAAATTGAATCATCATGAAACATTTTTTTTTTTTTTTTATCACCAAATTATCAACGTGTGGGAATACAAAATTGTTTGCATTAAAAATTTTACATTTGTTTTTATTTTTCTAAATATTCTGTTTTACACTTTTTTTGTATTTGTATATTTTTTAAACAATATTATTTTATAGAAAATAAATTATTTGCTTTTACATCAAAAATATTATTTTTTTTTTCGATCAAAGAACAATATTGATATATACACATGTCGTAATAATTTTTGTACCCGATTGTTTTTAATGAATGAATATGTGGTAATTAATTACTTCTATATACATAAATATCAATGGAGAGAAAAGGATTTATTGGTTTAATGTGAAATTTTTGGTAAAAACGGGAATTATAATCCGACCCTGGTTTTGGCCCGGCCTTGTCGTCTAATGATAGTCTCGCTAATGATGTGACTGTACACGCACACACATTATAAAAGCACGTGACTATATATTTCGTTTAGCTTTATCTATTATATATATATATATTTATATATACAATGAAAAAAAAATTTATTTGATTCAAATACTCGATTACTTGACTATTATCAAATAAATATTTACTTGAACCAAATAATTTTTAATTGAATTAAATAAATTGTATTTGAACCAATAATTTTTGTATTTGAATCAAATAAATTTTTTATTCAGTGTATTTATACATATATATATATTTCTAGAACACTGGAATCTCACAGAATCAGAGCCAAAAATCAATTGTTTATCGTGGAAAATAATTTTAATTTAATTAATATCATTAAATTTAATTCTATTTAGTTTGGCATCGTTTTCGATTTGGAAATTCTTCAAAACTCTACAAAAATGGTTTTATCGTTTTTAATAAAGAATAAAAATAATAATAAAAATTAATAATAATAATAATACCTAATAATAATAACAATAATAATAATAATAATAATAATAATAGTAATAATAGTAACAATAATAATATAAAAATAATAATAATAATAATAATAAATTTTGATAAAATTTTCATTAAATTATCCCTTTAAATTTCTTATTGAAACTATTTTCCAGATGTTTTTAATTAAATTTATTACTTCCTAAACTTTAACTATGATTTGCTTTTTCTTAAAATCGTTTTTTTTATAAATATAATTTTTATTTTTAAAAGGGCATTTTTATTATAAAAATTATTTAACAATTATTTTTTATCAAAATTAATGAATTTTAATAAACAATAAAAATGTCACGAATTTTTTTTTGAACAATGTAATTAAATGTAATATTTGTTTAAAAAAATATTTTAGATAACATTTTTTAATTTAATTTTTTTTAAATTTGATATCATAAAAAAATTATTTTTTTAAATCGTTAATCATAAACTTTGGGAGAATTTCCACACCATAATAAGTTACGAGGAAAAAATTAAAGAACTATTATATGTATCTCAAGACGGAGAAAAATACCTTTACGAGAACACACACGCACTCGTGAGCTAAGAATAACTCGAAAAAAAGTTAAAATCTATATTCATAGTAATATTTTCTACGATTTGATAAATAAAATATAAAAATTTAATATTTCAGGCAAAGAATTGCCTAAAAAGAAACAAAAAAATTTTTTTGCACCGGTAACAAAATCGTTTTGGATAATTTTAATTGAAACCAAATTTTTAGTTATAGGCGAAAAAAAATTATATTAATTTAAATTAAAGTTTCAATAATTATTTTTTAAAAGTAATTATTTTTCTTTTTTTGTAAAAAAAATTGTTTAGAACAATTTTTCTTGTTTGCAAAAAATACCATACAGATTTTTACACATATATATATATAGATTTTAGTGTTAATAAAATCTGATAACAAATGTCGAGCGTAATTAAATTTATTGTTAGCTCTCAAAGTGGTGTTAAAGTTAACATATAATGATATTTTTTTCTTTTGGAAAGTCGCGCGGTATATGTATATATATATTTGCGAAAGTGCAAACAAGAGTCTTAAACAAATGCGCACACACTTGTTTGAATGTGCACATATGCAAGAGGGGTTCAAGTCCGGTGATGTATGACCGTGTGCTTTTTACATTTGGCTTCGCTCCAGCGCAAATATTATCAACATATACAGTTCTTTCCATCCTGAGAGCGCATATATATATAGTTAAAAAAAAAAAAAATTGAAAAAATTTTAAGCAATAATACTGCCGTACTTTTCAAGTACTTCTATTTCTAATAGTAACTATTTTAACATTTCTTTCTTATCAGTTTTTTTTCAAATTTTTGGGACCATTTCCTATCAAAAATAGTCGCGGTACTTGTACACTGAAAAAAAAATATTTGATACAAATACTCGATTACTTGACTATTATCAAATATTTATTTGTATATATTAAATAATTATTATTTTATTCTTTGTTTGAAAATATTTTTCATTTGTTTAAAATACAATTTATTTCAAATACAATTTGTTCAAATACAATTTATTTAATTCAATTATTTGATTACAAAAATTATAATTGGTACAAGTAAATATTTATTTGATAATAGTCAAGTAAATATTTGAATCAAATAAATTTTTTTTTTCAGCGTACCACACCCAGAGAAATGATTTATTTGAATCAAATAAAATATATTTGAACTAAATAAACAAATATTTGTCTCAGAGCCTACTAACTTATTTATTTGGCGTAAATAAAAATTTTATTTGTCATAAATAAATTTTTCTTTGGCTCAAATAAATTTTTTATTTAAATGAAATAAAATATATTTGCAACAAATAAATGAGTTAGTATAGGCTCGGAGACAAATATACCATTTCTTTGAGTGCAGTACTGCACCAGTACAATTTTTGGTAGGGTATTTAAAATAAAAAAATTTCAAATTTATTTTTGTTGTAAAAAAAAAAAATGATAAAAATGAAGAGATATGAAATCAACAATAAAGAAATATCTTGCCAACATGGCTGATTGTGAGAATGAAGCCATATTTTGAGTCGCGGCCCCAGAACAGGCTTCTTCTCGCCTCACACTTTTTTTTTACAACCCTTTCAATTACATTAACCTGCGAAAGTACTCTGAACTCGCTATTCCCTCACTCATAAAACATATGCGGAAATTATTATTAAAAACTAACAACATTTTTAAAAATCTAGTTAAATTTTTTTTAATATTATCAGTTTTTAAATAAAATTTTGATTTTAATTTAGTTTTGAAATTAAATTTTCGTTACTTTTTAAATTAACCAAAGATTTGAGAAAACATTTTTTTTTTGTTGGGCCAACTAAAATAATGCGTAGATTTTAAATTATAATTGAATATTGAAAAATAATAGACAATTAGTTATTCTTCTGTCAGGACGAAAGTCTGAGAATACATTAAAGACCCAAAATATCCATGTCGACCAGGTATGTTGAAACCTGGCATATAAGTTTTGGCACTAGGCCACGAAGACCGGGGATACGACGACTTGGAGGCCAACATCAGGCATAGTTCATGTGTTTTCTGAGTTTTCACATGCAAGAGAACATCAGGCATTAAGAAAATGCTTTCAATTATTCATTCATAATTCGATACATCATTCTTAAATAATCAAATATAGAAAAAAAAACAAATTTATTTCATTCAACTAATCGATTACTTAACTATCAAATAAATATTTACTTGTACGAAAAGAATTTTTATTTGCTCTCTAAATCTGAATTAGTAAAAATGTTTACTAATTGAAATTAGTGACTCACTTTTTGCTTCTGAATTAGTAAAATTTTACTAATTATTAGTAACTTTTACTAGCAATTAGTAAAATTTAACTAATTCTAAAGCAAAAAGTGAGTCACTAATTTCAATTAGTAAACATTTTTACTAATTCAGATTTAGAGAGTGAATTAAATAAACTTTATTAATAATAATTTCTGTATTTGAAATACCCATCTAAAATAATAATTATTCAAAATATTTATTTGATATATATAATAATCAAGTAATCGTTTATTTGAATCAAATAAATTTTTTTTTCAGTGATTTTTACAAAAAAAAATATGATTAAAAAAAATAAATAATAAAATAAAGTGTTGGTAGTAAAAACTTTTCGGTACAAGTAGAAAAAAAACAACAATGTTTTTATGATACGATAGGGTCGATGGAAATGCAACCAACTGAAAGAAGTTTCATTCGTTTTACAAGACACGATTCACTGCTTTTCGTATATATTTATATATCCCTTTCATCGCGACATTTGTATAAATCAAATTAGTCATTATTACATTGTACAATAAGAAAATAATATTGAAAATTTGCCAAAAATAAATTAAAACTCTTTTGAAAATTACTTCGCATTTCTTTGATTTTTTTAAATTTTACATTAAAATTTTTATTATCCAATAAAAGTTAAAAATGCAAATTTTTTTTTTATTACTCAATCTTCCATTTATATTTACATTTTATAGGGGAAAATTGAATTTAAAATTAAAAATTTAATTTTACAAATTAAAAAATTAGAGTTTAAAAAAAATTTATTAAATTAATAAATAATAAATTTTTATTTGATTCAAATAAATTTGATTTGTCTCAAATAAAATGTTTCTCTGAGTGTATTAATAATTATAAATTTTCAATTTACTTTTAATTTTTGCTATAAAAAATAATACACACAAAAAACAAATACTGAAACCGTTAACATCTTAAAATCAAAATGCCTTAAAACTAGTGTAATTTTAATCTTAAAACTAGATTAAGTCAATTTTAGGGCTTAAAATCATACACTCAAGGCTGAAATTCAGTAAAAATGTTTCTAATGTTAACGGTTTTAGTCAAAAGTGAACTGAAAGTACGTATTATTTTTTAGTGTGTAATTACAATAAAAGATGTTTGAAAATATTTTTTTAAAAATTTCCTCATATTAACCTCCTTGATGTAAAAAAAAACATTTTTTTTTAAAAAAAGAAAAAACTATCAGAAAGAAACTGAATATAGTATGAGCCAAAAGTTTTGAACGTTCAAATGAACAAAATATTTTTTTCAATCTATAAATTATTAAAAATTATAATGTCAATGTAAAATAAAACAGTAAATTAAACTAATATTAAATTAACAATGCATAGATATTTAAAATAATATTTTGTAATAAAATTCGTATTTAAAGAAGTTATAAAAAAATATTGTTCATTTTGAACGTTCAAAACTTTTGGCTCATAATATAGTTATATATTGAAGATCACACC